TGCTGTGTGTTTCCGAATTTGCAGACGAACTGCGTGGCTTTCACGCCCGACACCAAGTACAACGACCTGAAGAAGGAGCGCACGGGAAAGATCAAGAAGAACATCTCGTTGTGAAGGGGTGAGCGACCCGAACGGAGAGCCCAAGGCTCTTCGCGTCCGGCGAGGCAAATGAAGGTGGCAGAAAACGGCGAGTATGACTTTGAAGTGTTCGCAGCACCAGTGCGAAACGAGATAAACTACAAAGAGGGGTTTTCATGATGACATGTGTGCACAGGATCGCCCCTTTCCCATTAGAAGGCGAAGAAATCACGAGAGTGGTATCAAAGTAAAGTTCATCTTTAACAAACACAAGTGTCACGACGGATGTACCCATTCTGCCCTTCCTATCCAAATGAGGTTGTTCGTCTTTCGGCTTCAAGCTGTAATCAAAGACAAGAAGTTCTTCAAGAAGGTTGAGACTACGGCCGACTACGAGGCCAAGACACCCTTGGCCACAGTCCCCGCTCACTTCGCCGACTTCTGCGATCTGGGTGAGCTACGTGCTTTCCCTTACCACAGACGTTTGAGCTCTTAGAGGCGGAAACACTCCTCGTCAACGGCCAGAAAGCTGTTGTACGGGTGATGTCACCAAACTCCGGTGTCTACAAGCAGAATTACTGACAGAATAATCTCAAGTTGGAGTGAGACGCGCAAAGACAAGTTGCTTTGTCGCGTGCCTCGTGTGCGTAGCATTGATTATTGAAACCGTCGAATTGAAACCGACAACATTGTTAGACAACGAGAGGTCGATTCCAGGGTGGAGATTGGGGCCTAGTTCCGCGGTTGGGTGTTAGATTCAGCTGGCTTTTTGTGTGTGTTGCTCATCGGAGCAGGGCTTGTACGGGAGAAGGCTAGTGGCATGCAATCGGAGTACAGAACACACGGGGGAGCCATTGGCAATTTCGTCTGGCCATGCGACGCTGCCCGATTCCGGACCACCATCCTCGTTCGGTAGCGGTCGTGAACCAAAGTGTTGAGGCATGGTTAGGCTCTGCGAGACTGTTCAGAGACGTTGCCTTGCACTCGCTCCAGGGTGGCAGGACGCCCGCTCTTGTGGTTGAGGGTTTTGGAACGAGGAGTCAGAGGCATAGAAGCCATATGAGTAGCGGGGAGGATTCGCGCCCTATGAGTTGCGTACTAGGCGATAGGAAAACGGAGCGGTGAGACAGCAGGGGGAAACATGGTATGGGGTAGTTGGACGAAGATACTCTGTTCTACTGCGACGAGACTCTCATGACGACCTCGGATTGGGTAAAATGAATGGCAGAGTATCTATTGGGGACTTGTATGTCAGAGGTGTCACGTACAGTAGGAAAGTTCCCCACGCCGTGGAAAGAGGATGCCCAAGTTTATTTCTTAGGGAAGATGGAGAGACAGTGCTACTAATGGGACAAAGACACGGTGGGATAGGCGCAGAGAGCTTCTGCGGGGAACGTGTTCTGTCAGTGCCGTGTCTCTTTCTCCTCCCCTCGCGGTAAGGGAAACAATAGTGCAAATTGGCGTCGAGAGAAAAACAACAAAACCATAGATGACATCCCCCATGTAGCCAACATGGTCTTCCCGTCTTTTGTTGAATCACCCACAGGCGTACTTCAAACCTCCACCAACATCCCCATCAATAAGCACAATACCAACAACAACATTAACAACAACAACGACAATCACAGTACCTCCAAATAAGTCCAACAACAACGGCAAGACCAACACCAACCATGATTGGACTCTCATCCACGACAGAGGTAATGGTGCATGCCTGCGATGCATATCACGCCATATGCACGGAACTCCCACCAATCACCACACATTGCCACAAAATATCACAAACGATGCGACACACTGAATTTCCCGACCAACACACTTTTGGCGCAGCTTTTCATTCTGCAGTAACATACAACGACGAAATAGTATGTCAAAATGGCCGTACCCCGATACAGTGTCGATCCATTCCACATTGTCTTCAACTATGTCTCACCCACATGCCTACACCACGTTCATAGAAATGTCTCAGTTCCCGTTTTTTACCCATGGAGACTGTTATGGAAATGCCTACTCATCTCCTGTCGTAGTCAATGTTCAGTTCTACTGCTTATGTAGACGAATGACGTATGTGTTATCTATGTATCGGTTGGAACGTAACGTACGAGCTGTACGTAGCCTGTAGCTCGTTCTGTCGTTCGGTGCACGACCTCACTCTGTGTCTGTGATCTATCGAACTGTCTGGTACTTTAGCTGTCCTTGTCGTACCTTGGATGCTGCTGGCATACTGCCTGGACTACAACCGTCTGTCGGGTGTATCTGTCTGTGTTTGCCACATAAGCACCGTGTTTACAACATCTCTCCATCTTCTTCTGCACTGAAGTACTGCTGTGCTTCAGGTGCTACAAGCTCCACGAACTATCACACCGACTAGCGTTGGTGGGCGTCAGCTTCTGCTGTGACGTGCTGGGGTACACGTACAATCCCCACTAATATGTTATGAGCCACTGAATCAGCGCAGCGCTGGATTCTTCGTGAAGCTGACGCGGTGTGTTCGGGCACTGCTGTACATCCTGGATTGAGTCTTTGGACGAAGATCCGCATTGAGTCCACCCGCTTGCTTGCTGGACACGGGCTGATCACCTGGCGTTCACACCTGCACTCTCGGTACGAAAGGCACTGACTTGTGTAGAGCATTCACGAGCGCAATTTCTAGGCGTTGATCTTGGTCGGCGAATAGATTGTGCACCTGTGCTTGTAGTTCTTTCCGCGCGCCGATACGTTGGGTCGGGGCGTGCGTACCTGACACTGCTGGCACAGACAGGGATATCGTCTTCCTGGGCGATCTTCCCACCTGGGAGTCTGCGCGCGAGTCGCGCAGCAAAGTCTGTCACAGGTGTGCCGCTGTTTGGCCTGTTAGCACCCCGGTGCTGCAGCCGGAAAAGGCTGCACTGAAAAAGCGTGCAGCAAGTCTGAGCATGTATCTGACCCGTGTGCCTCAGGACGTGGCCGGAGTTGACTACTTCGACGTCACAATACCGCGACTTCGTCATCCGCGGTCGGTCTTCTGCTGTACGATCCGTGCGTCCAGTAGTTCGGGGAAGCGCCTATCTCTATCTCCCGGACACGGGGAGATTGTGTGCTTTCGGGCCGCAGTCACACCTAAATGCCTGTGCTTTGAGTGCAGCATCGCACAAAGAACGCGCCTGTCGCGTTGTCAAAAAGAGGTGTCCGGTCCTGGGGGGCCTTAGATTGATTTTTCGTGCTGTATGACGGAATCATCATCGTTCCACAGGACTCGTGAGTCAATCAACAAATGCTCTGGCCCTGGATTTTGGGAATGGAGAGACAAAATGCGCGAAGCCACAAGTTTTCACGCCGTCGACATGCTCGACGTCTTCGACGGAGTCCCATGTCCAGCCCCGACGTCCGCCACTCCGGTTGAAGTGGCCAAGTGGCAAAGGGCCAATTTTCAACTATTCTCGATTTTATTCTTCGGGACAGAAGGGTCCGCCCACATCACCGTCAAACCGTTGAAAGGCACAAAGGGAAACCCAGGAGACGGTGCACGGGCGTGGAAAGCTCTCGAGGATCGCTTTGATGGAAGTACACAGCACGTTCCATACCACGATGAAATCGGGTAAAGACCCTTCGGACTTCCAAGCCAAAATGGACAATCTCCGCCTGCGTCTGGAGGACATGGGGGACGAAGTTGCTGACGAGAGCTATGAAGACGTGTTTCTGCGGGCACTGCCCAAGGAGTACTATTTCATACGACAGACTAGCCACGAAGACAGGACGTTCGGCCTCACTGAAACTTGCACAACAATGGTAAACATGTACGTCGACGAAATTTCCACGAACTCGTCTGGTCCGTCGGTAGCTGGTCGTGGCGTCGCCTTGTCGGCCGAATCGAGCGACGTCCAGTGCCGTAAATGTCAAAAGTTTGGGCACTATGCCAACGAGTGTCCGAAACACAGCAAAGGACAAGGAATCGACGGCAAGGCACGAAGCCCTGGAAACGGGGAAGCGGCGGAGAGAAGTGGTGCAATTATCACAAAACGAACACGCACTCCGACGCCGAGTGCAAGAAACAGAAAGAATTCAGCCAGACACCGTCTGCCCAAGCGAACGTGATCAGAAGCGCACACGTAGGGATCGACCAAAGTTACCCATCTTGCGGCTTTACGTTAACCGCCGTCGACTCCAGATCCAGTGCATCGGGAGGAGCAGCTCCCATATCACGTGCGCCAACAGAGGTTCCGTCCCTGAAGCTTGGTCCTTCTGCAGCTGAGCGGCGCCAGGAACAGGACAACTCAAACGGGCTCTTTGGTGTTGTTGGCATGACGTTTGTGGCTACGTCCTCTGCCCTGCAGGGTGCGCCTCCTTCACGTGGTTCATCCATCACTCTCATGGTGGATAGTGGAGCATCGCATTACTACCTGGATCCGTTCCTCACTCCAGATTTGCATCGGTAAATCACCGACTACGCTACCCTAACAGTACCACACCACATCTACGAAGCTGGCGACTATCAGCTGGAAGGGATTGCAAACGGCACAATCCACGGCATGGTCTCTGATGTTCATGGTCGCAAAATCGCCTCAACTTTGACGCATATGTGGTTCCAAATCTAAAGAGAAACCTGTTCTCCGTCAAAGAGTGCCTGAAACACGGTGTTGCCACCGTCTTCGACACTGTTAGACCGCGGTTGGAGGCAGGACACGCGGTACCTTTGAACTTCAAGGCGGGCGATGAGCTATATCACTTCACGATGGACCTCCCCGCAACGGGCGACATCTCTGGTGTGGCTCTGCGGATCGAGCAAACAAAATCATCCCAAACGGGCATCGTACGACGTCTCCAGGCCGTTTCAGCTCGTCATCACAGACCTCATGGGACCATTTTCACCTCCGGCACTGGGAGGATTCCTGTACATCAACAAGTTCGTCGACCAGCACACCAAGTGAAACGAAGTCTTCCTGATGAAGGAGAAAAGTGCTACAGTTGATGTTCTTCAGCTGTTAAACCAATCTGTCGTGACACCGCATGAACTGCGGCTAGAATGTGTGCCGGCGGACAAAGGTGGAGAGTACACGAGTTCGGCTTTTCGCAGATACTGTCGTGATGTCGGAATCAAGCCACAGTCTGCTTCCACAAACACTCCTCAACAAATTCGCGCGAATGAACGGATCGCTCGAACGCTAGTGGGTATGTTACGATGTCTGCTGGCTGACTCTGGTCTACCGCACTTTCGCTGGGGAGAGCTGTTCATGACCGCTTCGTATCTGAGCAACCGCGCTCCACAATCGGCTTTGGACAACGTGACGCCCTTCGAAGTCCTTCATGGCAAGAAGGCCTATCTTGGCCACCTTCGGGCGATCGGAGCAAGAGCTTTTGTCACCTGGAGACCCATACCAACAAGCTTGATGCTCGTGCCTGGGAAGGACGGCTGGTTGGCTACAGCGTCGACAGCAAATCTTTTCCGATTTATAACCCGGAAACGAGGAGAGTACGCGAGAGCCGCAACGTCTTCATCATTGAGACACCGTCGGTCATGCCGGAACCAGGCGTGGTGAGTGGGTTTGACGAGGGAACATGTTGGTACGACGATTCTGAGTATCTCATTCGCGACTTGCGCAATTACATGTCACGCGTTGATTTCGATGACTCGTCTTCGGAATACCGCATGTCAGATGACGTGTAGGTGCGTTCTCTTCTCGATCAAATTCATGAACCAGCTGCCCGAGACCTTCGGTCTTCGCGTGCTCCGTCTTCTTCTGCGCAACAATCTTCTCCAGCTGCTGCTCCGGGAGATACTTCCACACCTGCTCAAGGGGAAGGTACTCCCACTCCTGCACCTGCTTCAGCGGGAGGTAGTCCTGCGCGTGGTCGGAATTCCGGGTCTGCCCATTCCACGCGTGGCAGGGCTACGTCAACTCCTCCTTCTCGTAACTTACGTTCCAGGTCTGCTCGCGGTGGGAGTGTGCCTGCGGAACTGTTCCCAAAGGGGGAGTTTCCCGACGTAGCGCACAAAGATGCGCAGCTTGGCTTTGTCGAGTACGCCTATGCAGCAACAAGCACCCAACTCGAAAGTCGCTCTTCAAGGGGAACGAGCAAGATACCTGACACCTTCGGAGAGGCCATGGAGCTCGCGGCAGCAGACTTATGGAAACAAGCCACCGAAAGGGAGATCAAGAGTCTTCAAGAGCTAAAGGTTTATACGCTCGTTCCGCGACCTGAAGTTTCTGAGAATTAAAATGTCTTTGATTCTAGATGGGTGTTCAAGGTCAAGCCGGACAGCATGTACAATGCGAGACTCATAGCCCAGGGCTGGAATCAAGTTCCAGGAAAGGATTGCGATGGAACCGTCGCTCCTGTCGGTAGACTGCAAAGTGTGCGGATGGTGCTTGCCATTGCTGCTGAGATGGACTGGGAGGTACGTCAACTTGACGTCAAAACTTCTTTTCTTTATGCTGACCTAGAGGAGGACGTGTTTGTGAAGATGGCACCAGGCTTCGAAGCCCGTAACGCAAACGGACACAAGCTTGTAATGAAGCTTGGAGTTAGTTTATACGGATTAGCTCAAAGTCCCCAGAACTGGTGGAAAACAATCGATCCAAAACTCATCGAACTTGGGTTTGAGCCACTCAAGTCGGAGTCCTGCGTGTATATCTACCAGCGCAACAACACGGTTGTGATCATCACCCTCTACGTCGACGATCGTCTCGTCATCGGCGGAAAACATCGAAGTGATACAAGCAATTAAGAAGAAGCTCATGGAGCAGTTCCAAATGAGTGAGTTGGGGAATGTGTCACTTATGCTAGGGATGCAAGTCACTCGCGATTTTGGAGATGAAACGCTCACCATCACACAAGCCGACTACACAAGGTCCACTCTTGCGCGGTTTGGTATGGAGAAGTGCAAGCCCACGAGTATTCCAGGGTTTGGTTCGGAGCTATCCACGGAGAAGCCTACCGAGACCTTTCTGAACAAAGAGGAAACGCAGAGGTATCAAGCCATCATCGGATCGATCATCTATCTCGCTCAGATTATTAGGTACGATGTCATGTAGCTACAAGCCAGCTTGCGCGCGCGATGTCCAAGCCAGCGAAGGTGCACATGGGTGCTGCTAAGCATCGTCTGGGGTATCTCGCCGGAACACCGTATTTTTGCATCACGTACAAGCGAGGAGGCTTCAAACTGACCACATTCTCGGATGCCAACTGGGGTAACAACCCTGATAATGCGAAGTCGACTTCATCCTACATGATTGTGATGTCGAAGGCTCCCGAAAGCTTCAAGACGGGTCTGCAAAGCTTAAGGGCAGTGTCGACCATGATGGCGGAGCTGGTGGCTGCAGCTCTAACGATGAAGGAAGTAGTGGTCTGCTCTAATATGATGACTGAGATAGGGTCCGGACAGCAGTTCGGTCAAGTTCCGTTGTACATCGACAACAGGGCCACCTTCCTTTCACGTCATCGGGAATCAAGCCTACAGTTCTCGTACGAAGCACATCGCCATACGTTTCTTCTATCTTCGAGAGCTGGTCAAGGAAGGCGCAATCACCATCCACTACGTTTCTACGGATCGTCAACTCGCCGACATCGGAACCAAATTCCTAAGCAAGCATTGCCTTCGTCTTCTACTCAACCTCATCAAGAACTTCGAGGAGTAGCTAATGACTGCTGAATCACGGCGGTGTGATCTATCTGTTTTGTAGTGTTTATGTATGTACACTAATTTCACCAGATATTGCTGGCAGTTATTTTTCGCATGAAACGATCATCAAATTTCGCATGTTATCGCAGACAACTCGTTGAAGGGGAGTGTTACGAAAATGCCTACGCATCTCCTGTCTTAGTCAATGTTCAGTACTACTGCTTATGGAGACGAATGACGTATGTGTTATCTATGTATCGGTTGGAACGTAACGTCATACTGCCTGGACAACAACCGTTTGTCGGGTGTATCTGTCTGTGTTTGCCACATAAACGCTGTGTTTACAATATCTCTCCATCTTCTTCTGCACTGAAGTACTGCTGTGCTTCAAGTGCTACAGGCTCTACGAGCTATCACACCGGCTAGCGTTGGTGGGCGTCAGCTTCTGCTGCTACGTGCTGGGATTCACGCACAATCCCCATAATGGAGACCCTGCGCCCCCCGTTCCGGTGCCAAGCACGTGTTTTTTTCAATACGACAGCAATTCCCATCACTGCCAAACAATGCATTACCAACTCATACCTCGACAGTGTTCTCTTTATTTACATCCATTCCCGCAGGCATGTCTTCGATGCAACAATTCACCGTCGACGACCTTCTCAGTAAAAGTGAAGAGGACCTCCCCCATGGTCTCCTCGACGTTTAACAACATATTCGCCTGATTGAGAGCGAAGTATCTGATTGAGAGCGAGAGCCAAAAAAATTGAAATTTCGGGTCCAGACGCCTCTTGCCATTTCTTGGCAAGTAGGGGACGGGCTATTCCAAGAAGCGGTGCAAATTGAAGGTCTCATCAGCAGCTTCGCGAGCATATGCGTGTCATCGTCATCGGATGCTGCAGCGAGGAGCTAGACAAGTTGCTAGATTTGCCCAGATTGGCTATTTCTGCTCAAACTGTTTCAGGGCGGTATCGCGTCGGGCGGTGGGCTCTGCTGTAGCTTCTGCTCCCCGCTGTAGCTCCACAACGAGAGACTCCCACAGGATGACCAGGGTAGCGGCTTGAAGCTACGGGCTAGCCCTTCAATTCAAGCTACACAGCAAGCTCCACCTCTCAGTGGTAGTCCGGCTACAGCGTATCGCGCAATCTCGCTCTCAATCAGATGCTACGCTCTCAATCAGGCGAATATGTTGTTGTTTACGAAAAACACCTGGCGGACGAATAGGCGTTTTTTTCGAGACCTTCCTGTGGGAGTGGCACGACAACCAATGTGCCTTAACGACCCATCTTGAAGGACGTCACCAGCTTCTGACCTTCGTAGATTTCGATCGTTGCGTCCCTTTCTGTCTCTTTCTGCAAAGAGCACCTGCTGACCATAGCGTTCAATTGTAGTTGCAACTGCACATACATACATGTCGTTGCCAAGTAAACATCGCGCACGCCGGGTATAAAATGCTGCTGTGCATGGCGTTCAACAGTCGTCCAGCTGTACATGACGTTGCCTCATATATTGCGCCTTAGAATACCGCTTTTCATTCTACAATTTGTATGTGGGGGCGTGATCGATGAGTCCACTAGAAGAGAGGAGGGGGCACTACGTGAGAATCGGCGAAAAACCGGCTTCCAGTAATATTCGTGTAACCCCGGGTGGTGATAATGCTGGGTTAATGGACATGTTCAATGGTACATGGCGAATAACAAGTCGATTGGGAGAGCACTGGGGGTTGCAGCCCGCCCACAACTGGTTCTGCTGCACCTGGAGTTCAGTAGTCGTGCACCATAACATATGGTATTCTGTTACGTCGCGCACTATGAATGCCGAGGTGTCATTCCATGGGCTGCAGGAGAAGGAGGGGGGGCACAACCTGCCGGAGAGAATACAGGTATCACGGGTGTGAGGAACACACCAATTTTTTTAGTTGTCGGACTAGACTAAATGGTAATGTCGTCGACACCCACGACAAAGTAAAATCTACACCACCACTTGCCCATATACTTCATTAAATACAGCTTCAAACAGATCCATTTTTTTACTTACGTGGGCGAAGCACCCTTGTGTATGTATGTAAATGAATACATTCCGAGTTCACAGATGGCGAGAGGGTTGAGAGCGCCAAACTTCTGTACCTCACAGCAGCAGCAGTTTACCCTAACAACGCAAGCAGCGTTCTATCGAGACACACATCACAATGCACCACAATGCTGTGAACGATCATGATCGTTCACTCCCTCGTTTTGGTGTCCTGCAGCATCCCACCCGCACCAGGGCCAACAACTGTCGTCGTGCATTTCCCTTTGGACGCCAGAATGTCAAGAGTGAGAGGGCCCGAAGCACCCTCGTCTACAGTAGATACAGTGAAGACAGTCGCCCCCCACCGTGTTGGAGGGTGTTCAGCGTCCTCCTGAATCTTCTACAACGACAACTGGCTAAATCATTTGTTTTTTCCTCCTAATGTCCTCGGCGTGAAAAACGCATGCCTTACGTCAGACCACGCAAAAGCCAGTGGGAGGAGGTCACAATGGAATCCAGGCGTCATGTGTTGCCCTCCTCACCTCTGTTCAAATGCCTCTCTGTCGCGAGATCCTTTCAGGAGGCGGTCCACCGCCTCAACGCGCGTGCCCTGAGTTGTGCGCTATTGGGGATGGCGTTGCGGGCGTATAACGTTTCGAAGGGCATGAGAGGAAGTTTTCTCGTCACCATGGGTGGACGCGGGTATGCATTCGCGCACATTTCATGACGGACAGACATTTCCCTGGGGGGACCCAAGGCTCTACAGTGCCCAAAAGAGGCATACATTACACCTACAGCAGCAGTACCTACGGGTGGGAAACATGCGACGATGACGAGTTATCCGGCAATACGAAAGGCGTCAGCTGACTCATCGTTAGGCGTGTGCTCCGTCGGCCATAGACTATATTTTTGCTTTTTCGGTGATCCGTGAAAAAGAGATAGATGGGTGAATTTTGCTGTCGCACGAGAACCGTTTTCGAAGAGAAACGGCGATGAAAAAATCTGAAGGCGAGCTTGCCGAAGAGCCCTTTTCGGCGATTTTCGGGGATTTTCGGCAATGTTTTCAAACGTAGGTGGCTCCGTTGTTTGTGTTTTTCATATCTTCTGCTGCGTCAATTTACAAACCCTTCGTGTGCATATTTTCCGGGAAATTCCGATTAGGGCTAGGATTAGGGTAGGGCTAGGGTGGCCACCCTATCCGGTTAGGGTTTGTGTACACACGTGTTGCCCCCTAGACTAACAAAATTAAAAAAAGATCTAAACTCACGCCGCCGGTTTCAGCGGGGTCAAATTTGGTTCATCCCCTCCCCAGATTGGACATGGCTGACCCCAGTCCTTTCACCACCTCGTGCTCCTCACACAGACCTCGGCGTGCCACCGAAGTACACACGGGGAAGCGGCGGGGGGGGGGAAGAAACGGCGACCGGACACTGCTGTAGAAGCGAGTAGGGCGGCCAAGGCCGCGCTTGCGGCGAACGACGTACCCAACTGATGATGTTGTCGCACCCTGTGTTCCCTTTTCCCTGCCGTAAGCTGTATGCTCTTAGTATTGCCTCCGGCCTCTCTTTGTGCTTTTCTTCTTTCTTTCTTTCTTGTTCTCCATGCCCTCTCTACGATGATCTTGGACGATACCTCGAGCTCCTTGTTATTTTTGTTTTTTCCTTTGCTGGCTGCCTGCCACCTCTGCTGCCTCTTTGGTGCGGTGCCTACCCTACACTAATGCGCTGGTGCATACTGCACTGCTGTAGTACCTGGTACTGGTGTACGTCGTCCTTCGATTTTTTTTTTTTTTTGTGGGAATATATATGTGTTTGTTTTTCGCCCCCCGTCTTGCTGCACCCCCTGGGGTGTGGTGCAGGGCGGGGGATGCCTGGTCGGCGGGAACCCGGCACGGAACCCTCCGGCGTTGTAGGCGGGTGTGGGAAGCGTTCCCCGTTCTCCTTTTATTTTATTTTGATCGGTCTCCTCGACGCTCTTTCTCGTTTGGTGCGGTAGCTGGTCTTTCTTTCTATCATTTTGTTTCTCTTCCGAGTGGTTTTTGTACCCTATTTTTTTCTGTTTCTTCGTGGGGTCGTGTATGCCGGGTTTTGAGACCACGGGCTCCCAATCTTTTTCTTTAGAGCTAATGTGAGAAACAACAACAACAACACTGTCAGGCACCTCACGCAGGTCATACCCTCTATCGGAAAGCAGGTTTCACCACTTGATTTTGCTTTGGACGGGATAAATGCCTCACGATCACATCTGAGTTGAACCAGCTTTCTGCTGCTGCGCGCAACCTTTTCAGCTCGTGTGAGCCAACTTTCACGTAGGATTGCCGATACTTGGCCGTACGTAGTAGAGATCGAAGACCATAAAACGATGTTCTGATGTGCAGGATTGGGGATCAGCACTGCAGGGAGCGCAGTTGGCCTGCGAAAGCCGGCCCAAATTCAAGTCTATGCTCAATTAGTCAGCAGCGTGGTTAGTAGATAGGCCTCAACAACGATCATCATGCGTCTACCTCCGAAAACATGATACTTCGAAATCCAAGCCTGGAAGCACGCACCGAACTTTGAATGTCGTTTGCTGAACACCAAACCTTAACCAAACCTGACAGACATCGGGGTGTAGGCGTCTATATGTGTGAGCAAGGCATGTCGGATGTGCACGATTATATGATAGGGATCAGCACTACAGCGAGAGATAGAGCAGAATAACTAAAAAGAACTAGTACATGCGGAGGGACCGCCAGGGGATGTGATTCCGGGATTTATTTGTCATATCTGCATAATAATAAAAAATGACGACTTTTCCATAGATGGGCAACACGTGTGGTAGACCCGTGTATTGACGTTTATTTTTGTCACCTTGACTAAATACCTAAATTGCTGAAGGCACACGGCTCGTCCGATGTGCTTGTTCTCTCAGGTGTGATTTTTTTTGGAACAATAGTTGCGCAGGCAGCGATGGAGGTAGAGTTCGAAAAAAACACACAACAAAGTAGACCCACCGATATGATATGATACA